CATAGTCCCTTTGAGCTGAACGGATGTACCCCGGGTTATTCCGGCTGCTTTAGGGAGTGGATAAAGGCCAGCGTGTGGGGCACAACATACAAAGCTGTCTCGAAGCAAGGATTCATTTCCACAACAAAATAACAAGACTAGGGCTGGATGCAGTTGCAAGGTGGAGGGAGAAAAGTTTTGCCTAGCCCTTCCCATGCCTGTGAGGGGCTAGTGAAAGGGCAGAGGTACCTGTAGCCTCTCCCAGGGAAATCCACATAGCATAATGGAATTGCATCACTTGGACACAGATTTAAAGAATTCTTAGGACAACCCCCTAGTATTAAATGAAAAACATCATTGTCTCCTGCAGAGGAAGAAATCAGAACACCATGGCACAGCGTTAGGTCAAGTAATGGCAGTTATCACTGTCAGAGCTCAGTTTTCTTTTTTCTTGATAGATTAAAATAATCTTAAAAAGCAAAATAAAAGGAAACTGTGTGCAGCAGTAATGAAGGCACGCAACTGGAAAGGCCAGGAACAACAACCATGAAAAAACGCTGGAGAAAGCAGCCCCTTTGTAAACCCTGCACATTGCGGGCAGCAGAACAGTAAGATCGTTGCAACAGCAATAACAATTTGCAGTCTTGAGAGTGCCCTCTAGTGTAAGTGGGACCTTCGACTGTTCCGATCTACGGAGGAGAACTGGTGTCTCTCACAGCTGGCAGAGTGGTAACATGCTATGAAATTCAACCATGCCGTGCTAATTTAAGAGCGAGTACTGGCTGCTGTTCCAAGATGGTAGAACCTTGGCTTAACAGCAGCATACCTTCAAGAGCCAGCCCTTAATCCTGCACATCACTGGCTTATCAAACATTTTTTGATGTGCGAAACAGCTCATCAAGACGAGGGCACGAACTCTGTTGCTAACGAGTCACAGTAGAATGACATGCACTTGTGAATAGATAAAGGCTGAACTGTGTGTAACCCTTCGGACCGAGTTGTAAACATGTTGTCTGTTAAGGCTGACGTGCTATGATACGATACGAAAAGGGTCCAGAAGAAAGGAAATGGCCCCGAGCCGTTCTAGGAAAAGCAGGTTTATTCAAGGAGTTTTTTTAATCTTCGAATCCATATTGGAGAGCTCAGAAAGAAGAGTACGGTGGGACTGAGTGCGTGGGGCGCGGTGCTTTACTTCCGCCCTAACAGAGGACGTGTGTGCATCCTGACACTCCAGCCGACTTAACACAGGCTGCCTGCTGGTGCACGGCCAACTACATCAGCTACTATAACATATATTCCACTTAAAAGAATTTCTGGAACATTGCTTTCACCGTTTTACATTAAGACATTAGAAAAGAGCAAATGAGTTGGCCAAAATACACTCTTTTTATATCAGTAAAAACTGAGAGGAATCGTTAAGTGAACTCCCGATTCTGAAGAGACGGATAACATATTTTTAACGTCCTCTGATGCTTATGGGAACCTACTATTAGACATTGGGAACAGTTTAAAAGCTAATATAATCTCTTGGATTGCTATTTATCTGCCACCTGTTCCTAAAATGGAACACTTGTCACAGTAAATGGATAAAGGTTGCTTGCAAAATAAGGCATAGACCGGAAGAAGTAAGACCAATGAATAATTAGATTCACCAAGCCAAATCAGCCATCGTGGATATTTTGTCTGACCCTGCCTAAAACAGAAAGCAGAATTTTCCTCTATTTGCTCTTTTCCAACTTTGTAAGTTCTTTTCCTTTCAAGAAAGCATCCAGTCTCGATTTGCAATGTCTGTGATTTTTATTTCTGCCTACCTGTTTATTTCTAATTATATTTTGGAGTAGTTGGAAGCATTGGCTGACAAGCAAACTTTTATCATGACTGTCTTACAGATGGATCAGAAACAAAAATCTTAAAATCTGTCATTGCTTACTAGAGTATTTAAAATCTAAATCTACACATTTTTTAGGCAAAGTCTATTGTATTTCAGGTCTGAATGTGATATAGTTAATTAAATTGTTCTCAGTGCGAAAGGAATTTTATTCCAATTTTTACAAAGGGATCGGTGTGATCCTGAGGACTGTACATCAGTAAACCTGAGGAAGGTTCTGGCAATTCAATGTATTTATAAGTACGCTGCAGAAGGGAGATGAGCAGTGAGGTACCAGTGTTTGCTGCATTCTTGTTAAAAGTCAAATCTAAAAACCAACTGGGAAGAGCTACAGCTGTGTATTTTCTAGGCTCTCACTCTACCAAACAGGCAATAAATTGGCAGTGTCAGTAAGTACACACTAACACACGTGGGAGAAAAATAACCTCGGTTATATACACAGAGTGACGGGCTCTGAACAAAGTGATTAGCACTCAGGGGAGTGATGCTGGGAGCCATTTATGAATAGTTCCCTGAAAGCACCAGTTTGGTACTTCAGTATTAGTCAAAATGACGAATCAGATGTTAAGGAATTATTGGGGAAGGGACCAAGAAGAAAACTTCATTAGATTCATGCTGTGCAGATGCATAGCATGCCCGCAGCTGGCACACTGGACACCAGCTTCAGGAAGGATGTTAGAGACTGTGAGAGGTATGGAAAAGGACATTTGATGCTGGCTGCACCCTGCAGCTCAGCTACGCCAGGTGCACTCGGCCACCCACCCCCTGCTGCCCAGAGCTCTTGGGGCACCCGGGGCTCCCTCTCCCCCTTCCCACACAGCCCAATCCCTTTCCAGGCTTCCCGGGTGCTGTGCACCAGGATGTGGCACAGGTGATGTAGATCGGGACACACTGCAGAGCAGTGCTTCAGTGTGACAAAATGTTTTGGCTTGGATAAAAGATGAAGGAGTATGATACGGCAGATATCTTTATAGTCCTGGATGTTATGCAAAGGGAATGTTTTTTTTATAAAACCAGACATAGGAGACACCTAATGAAATTAACAGGTGGCAAACTGAAAACAAACCTGACAAAGCTTTTTTTTTTTTTTTAAATAATATACTGCTAAGTTGTAGACCCTGCTAGACAAACTAAGAAATGAAGCATTACCAGTTTTGAGAAGGGGACTGGACAAATTCATGAAGAGCAGGCCTACTGACATTATTAAATATTAAGATCCAGATGGAAATTTTGGCTCAGGAAATTTCTGAACGCTAAACTGCTAGAAGCAACGAAGGTGCACTATGACCAGGGTCCTTCTGTGTCTGCCCTGACTTTCTTGAAGCACCGATAGAAGTAGAATATTAAGAGGGACAGACTTAGCAAGCATAGTGCAGTCCCTTTTGCTCTTTAAAATTGCTTACTGGAAATGGAAACTATTGAAAAAATGAAACGCAATTTTTCTTTGTTTGGAAAGTGACAAAACTATCAACCAGGCAATTTCTCTGCAATATTCACACAGGTACAGGAGAAGCAAAGTAGCAAGAAAAAGGCTGTCTTTTTATTCTCTGCTTTCTTTCACAAACACATTTTCAAGGATAAACCAAAATCATTGTATTTCACAATTACCATTAGTGGTTTGGGATTTGTTTGGGTTGCTTTTTCATATTCAGAAGCTGCATAACGTAACACACAATCTCATTAACTAACCTGGGAAATTGTCAGCATTAATTTTCATGAATGCTCGATGCCAGCAAGCTTTGCCAGATCAGATGTCAGCCTTTCTTCTACTTCCAAATCACCAGCGGATCTTCCTCAAGGCTTACTGCTACAAAACTAATAAAACACTCAGAATCATTCTATTGGGTAACAAGTCAACAGACTGGCAGATGAACCAATTCCCTCCCTGTAGGATGCTAAGGTACATTGGTATAGAGCAGACAGAATTATTTTGCCTTTATAGCTTACAAATAAGCAATAGCTGATCAGTAACAGATGTTGTTAAGGTTGAGGCTTGGAAAGCAATTAAGAGATGTCACCACCTGAGGCTGACTCAGGTAGCTGCAACAGAGGATTTCTGCATCTGCCCTGCAGTGGGGGTGGCAGTGGCACCCGTCAAATGTAATCAGCCCTCAGGGAAAGTGCCCTTAAATTTACCCTTTAGTGACAGCTGCTGCAGCAGACGCTGCTCCCTTTCAAATCTGCTTCATACTCTGAGATCAGCATTTCAGAGCGCTCCTTCTTCACAAGCAGAACAGGGCTTTTAACTTTTTTTTTCTTTGTATTTCATCCAGTTCTCAGACAGTCAAGTTCCAGTCACACTTACCCTATGCCATCTTAATGAAACGCATGTGATCTGCTGCCCTCTGTCCTGACAGGCTCTGTCTCAGTGGGATTACATTCTGATCCACCCGTGCTCCCCAGAGAGCTTCAGGGACATCAGGGTGTGTATCTAATGAATATTTACAAAGAAATTTCCTTAGAGAGAAAGAAAAGACCATGCATTTTCAATGCACAGTGGAAAATTGTCTGCTGAACGTCCTTAAACATGCATTTCAAGTACATGCAGAAAAAGCCAAAGTAGAACTCTTCACAGCTAAAGCGAGCGTGGCAGGAGTCAGACTTTCCAGCTCAGAAGGGATTTTTGTGAATTACTGTGCATTACAACCATAGCTTCCACTCCACAGACCACAAGGCTGCGCTGATCAGCTCTACAGAAAAAAAAAAAAATCAAATCACATTAACCTGTATGAAATCAGTGTGGTTGTACCTGCAACCGAATAGCAGTTTGGCAGGCAGTGGAAGCATGGTATTGATGGAAAAATCACTCCTATACCTGGTTGTGATTTTGCTCAGAATCGTAGCACACATAGGTGAAGGTTGAATTCAGAAACCTGTCTGGAAGAAATACAACTGTCGTGACTGTTTAGGTTCTTTAAATGACACAAAACATTGTGCCAGGAACACCAACACTAGTTTTAAAGGTCTTGTTTGCCCTGAGGAAAACAATGTATTTTCAAAATATACATAGTAACCAGACTGACTGCTACTTGGGATTGAACCTGGCGCTTTTAATCCATGAGACGATACCTAGAGTGCTGTAGACAGCTTACCTATAAATGGGAAATCAATTGCAGTAATTCCCTGTCACACAATGACAGCAGAAAGTCCCGGGGAGCTCCGTGATTCGACTGAAACCGAGGATCAGCCCCTGAAGCCCCACGGAGCGGTGAATCCGCCGCTGCCGTTCGCAGGTGCTGAGGAGCGCCCGGGGCCCGGCGGGGGTGCCCCAGCCTCCTTCGTCCTTTCAAAAAAAAGTGAATCCTTCCCCTTGTGCACATTTTCATTGGCTCTACAGCATTTAGACAGCTAAAGCCTTGGCAGGCGGTTTAAGTTTTAGGAAGAACTACCCGAGCCTGAACACAAACGTAACCCGCTGGACTCGCAGGAAGGAAGACGAGCCCGAAGCGCTCACGGGGAAGAGGGTTTACTGACGCACCCGAGTTTCAAAGCCTTGCTTTGCTTTGCCCTGCCGGGTCCTCTACACCAAGGACCAGACGCACGGAGGAGACGACTTCCAGCCGTCGGGACGCGGCGGGAAGCGAAATTGACCTGCGCCCGAAGCGATCGGGGAAGCGAGGGGAACCGAGAGCCCCCGGCTCCCCGTCGCCTCAGGCGGGGAGGGGAGGGGAGGCCGGGGCCGGGCCTGAGG